GAAGAATTATTTGTTATAGAAAAGCTTTAGTTTAACAATAGGTGTCTTACGCAAAATGTTTTAGCGATCTTTATTTCGCGCGCCCTTTATTTTGTGCAACATGATAAGATTAGAAAGGTGAATTGCATTTCCATCGAGAATTAAATGCTTCAAAGTTGTAGAAGTAAACGATTTGGCTTACAGATAAATTAATAGATACCGTACATTTATTTTTGACGATAAAATAACACTTCTGTCAGATGCAGCTTGTTATAATATTACGCAATAAAGCTTTTTAGGGCATTGGCGCAAATTATGTAAAGTTAAATAATACTCTTCTCGCATTAAATAAACAATCCTTTCGTAAATAAGAGTATACTCTGAAAATATCGGTGAATTGCAAAGTTATCGGCATTTTATATTTATATACGATGGAAAATTCGGCGGGAAGAGGAAATAAAGCAAGTCTGGCGCGTTTGTTAGGATTCGACAATACATCTATTGTTACTCGAGAACAGAAGCGACGATTACCTCGTTCGAATCGATTCTCGATCAATGTAATCGTTTTGCGTTATATCATCCCTCGATTTGCTTGCGCGGTGTTATATCATCTTGTGTCATCCGTTTCGTTAGGTTAAAATAACCATAGCCAGAGTTGTGTATACATGAGATATGGCTGTCAAACAAGATTCAGGTATCGCTCCGCTTCGATTTATGACCCTTTTTTATTCTCTCTCTCTCTCTCTCTCTCTCTCTCTCTCTCTCTCACTTTCTCTCTCTTCTTGGCGAGAATTGAAGTAACGCGGGCGACCGAGTGCAATTACAGGCGCGTCGCGACGCCTCCGTCGTGCGTAACAGGTTGTAATTTCATTCGAGCCTCGTCGACGTGCAAACTTACGTTGAAAGTGTTTACTTGCGACGCGTGGCACTTTAAAGCGACATGAAGGCGTACGGATAAGTACCTGTAAGTAAGTGAACATTTTTCAACTCGTTTAAGCACGGTCGCACGTGCGCGGCCAAGCTCTTAATGATCAGACGTTTAATATACTTCGTTATATTGAGCGAACGATTGCCATACAATTTTTTTTCTTTCAAATTTCTGTGACTTTTTCCCAATAAGTTCTCTTTTTACGATATAGCTAATATAAAAAATAATTAATATTTTATTGTATTAAAGTCTATTTATAATTTAAAAAATAGAATAAAACTTGCATTTTTTCATCGTTAAAATTTAATTCGTAAAACTTTCTGAATATTTAATGGTTTATAACATACGAATTATACTTAATTTGATTCTACAATTTTTAATACCCTTTTCTACCTAAATTTTGTATTTACTTTTTTTAGGAAATAATTAGGTACACTTTTTTATTATATTTACTATTATACAACATTTAGTGCTATAAAAAGAATGATAGGAAATGTTATTAAAATATGTTTTTATCATGATAAGATCAAATATAATGTAACGGTTCTTTTCTGCAGTTGTTGAGTGTTTCTGAGGAAAATTCTTAATTATTCCGTGCGCGTATCTAATAATTAAGAGTTAATCAAATAATGTCGATCACTTTGTGCCACTGGAAAGCTACGTTTGAATCAGCTGGTCTCTTTGTCAGACGAGCTTTATTCAATTTTTCATGCATTTCAAGATCTCTTATATTTTTATATTTTGTGTTTACATCAAGATTTCTTGTTTCTTATGCCATTCTAGCTATGATATATATTTCTTTGAAAGCAAGTTAGAAGTTGTCATGCAAGTCGATCGAAGAATTGTCGCGTCCGAATGTCGGGATCGTGAGTTTTCTTCTTCGACACGTTTCAGTATCAGGAAATGTGCGTTTCCTTTTCTCTATGTCATGACTACATCGCGAGAACATCTATTCGTGACCTTGTCTCGTTGAATCATCTCGAAATTCCGCAAATGAATTGCAACGAAATCCCTCTCTGCGCATGAATCTATTTCTTAACTTTATTTAAAGTAACATGTTGTTTATCGAAGCTGATCGACGTTTTACATAATAATGAGACAAACAGATATTCTGCAATTTCCACAATCATTCTTTCAACAATACAGTGAAAAAAATTCAATAAATTTTAATATTTATTTCTTTGAATACTGTAAGTAAACAATTACAGTGAATAAATGTTTACTCAATAAAAAAGTGATAGTTAAATCAAATTAATGGTTTTTGTATCAAATAAATATATTTATGTATATATAGTACTTATATTTAGTAAATATTCATTCGAATAAATATTTATTAAAATTTAATATTCTTTTCAGTGCGATTATCAATGATAAGTATATAATTTATTCTAATTAGAAAGCAGAACATTAGTCTATTTCAGATTTCAAGCTTAATTGTCACAAAAGTACTGATTAACAATTAAACTGTTCTGTCTGGCGTATTCGATATCTGTCGCGTGTACGCATAAAACTAAGTGCTTGCATAATGGAGCATCGCCTTATGTAATGGAATTTCAGTCACGTAATAAAGTCAATTGCAATTGTCAATGTGCTATTAGATAATTTATTTTTTTTATGGGAAATGATGGAATTTAAACGTTTTAAAACATCTTTATTTTAAATTTTAATAAATAATATAAATTGTATACAGAAAAGAAGGAGCATTTATTTCGTAGAGAGTTTACGTAAAGCTTTTTTGTTAAGAAAAATCTTAATTACGCACATTCTGCTTTTCAGCAAGGTGAAAGCTTAAATGTAGGGATAAACGCCGAACGTTTGTGATCTAACTGTACGACTAATTAGCAAAGGGAATTCACGTAATTAAGCGATCGCGCAACGGATGATTATGCTCGTGCTTACGGGATCAAGGGGTCATTATTGATTCCGTAACTGGGTCCAACCCAATAGGACGAAGAAAGATCGGGGCGTGAAAAAGAGAGAGGGAGAGAAAGGTAGCGCGGATGAGCTTGCAAGCTGACGGGACGAAGCGGGGGGTCTTTAGTCACGATGCTAAATATAACGAGCGGCCGGTCGGTTCGTGAATATGACGCGTTCAACGCGTTCGACGCGCGATCGTCCGGAGGCGCGAAAGCTCCGCGTGCAAATTCCCACGAGCTTTTAAAGAGGCCCTGTCCGAGCGTATCGAGAGTAGGCGTACAGACACGCTGAGAGACACACAGCTTTTTTTTTCTCTGACACGCGCACCGGTTTCAGATACGACGCACGTACGAGCGCCGATGGATAGCCAAGCTCTTTTCCATTTATCTCGAGCCGGAATTTGCGCAACTTTCGTTATACCGATCGTTCGCGGTGATTGATGTTCAGGTTCAAAGTGTTCTCTCTTTTAATATGGATTTTCCCTGAAAAATGACACTGTTGGAAATTTCGCGAAAATCATGAACTTTCGCGATTGAAAATAAAGAAATAATACACGCGAAAAAAATTCTCAAAGAGTATCGTGACAGTCAATATAGATTGAAAATATGAGCATTTTTGTTTTCATTATTTATTTTTTGCGTTGGTTTCTTGGAAACTCTTTTTATCATGGAAATTTCCTAGAATTTATTATTAATTTTCTCAGAAATCTTATGTTGAATATGAATAGAGGTAGAAATATATAGAAATATCTGGAGGGACGGAAACATGCGGCTTTGCCGTGTTAGTCACAAGGATCAATAGTCATTTGGAACGTTAAACTTCTTTTTATAATAATAATAATTTTCTGGGACGTTACATCATTAATTATTTCAATTAAAATGAGAAATACGCAGTAAAGGCTATATTTGATTTTGTTTATCATTTACAAGATTCATGAAACTCGAAAGCAAAGCTATACAAATATATTAATTGCTTTATCGATACAGTTTACCGAGTCGAGAAGCGTTCGAACGCGATCGACTTGAAGTTCGTAGGAAGAGTCCAAGAATAAAACGTTTGAGTGCAGCTTTTACGTGCGGAAGCTTAAGAGCGCTACTTTGGTTTCGTCCCGGCGTTTCCGCCAAGCGGAATAGATTAAAGTGAGAGACCGGAAACGCACGAGACGCGAGTGTATATTCTACAGTTGGACGCGCTTCGTGGTGCATCGATTTCGGAAGATTGCGAAACTACGCACTTTCCGCGCGATCGCTCGGATTACTATGCAAGTGGAGGGCGTCAATGCTTACGAAATATCAGTACAGGTGGCCTACGTGGATGACAATGGACGCTGATCACAAGCTCGTCAGTCAGCCATCGGTGGATAGCGAGAATAACGAACGCGTCACCTCCGAGCGCGTGGGTAGTTCTTGTTTTTGATGTTTATAGACTAGGCACAGCTAATTCTGAATGAAAAAGCATTCCGAGCACCTTGAGTAAACGTTGAAACTTTTGACGTACTATACTGCGAAAGTACTTTTAAAATAATCCTAATTGTCTCATTTAAAAATCAGATAAGTCAGACAATCTCTCCTTTTTTAGTTTCTTCCTATTTTTAATTGTAATTATAAAATATGTTCTTGTAAAAAATATATATATATAAAGAAACATTTATCTATTTCTATATTAAGTGTGTTAAATATAATTTTTATATCTTTATTTATAAATTAAAGACGTGTGGGATTTAGAAGCAAAGGAAAAAAATAAATATAAAAAATATAGTTAAAAAGGAAAGATATAATGATTATAAAGGTAAAAACGCTTTTGTGAAGGATTTTGAGGTGAATTGAAAGCGTTTTATTATGTCATATATATTAGTCATTCAGGATTAGAGTACTTCGTCTTTCGATGTCTTGTCGACATGCATCCCAATGCACAAGCCTCAATACCTTGCGGCTTGATGTCATTGTTGCATAACGACCATAATCAAACGCATCGCATGTACGCACGTGAAGCGCGCACGTGTACATCTTTCGAAAGCACACGTGCGATCTTCATCACGAGACGATGCAATAATCGAGCTATGACAGCAGTGTTCGGTCGCCTCCCTCTCTTTCTTCATCTCGGTCAAACGTTTCCTTCTCTCGTAATGTCACTCAACGAGTACTCATCTTTTCTGATTGTCTTCTCTGCGTTGCAGGACACGAGGACTCACGTGGTTGTGGAGCTTTACGATACGGAACGATCCTACGTGGAGGCGCTACAAATACTAGTCAATGTAAGTATATTTATTGATTGAATCGAATCTGACGAAAGATCAATTCTTCGTAAAATGCAGTTCTTTAGTAAACCAAAAAAATAAAAATCCTAAAAAGATGTGTTTTTTGTTCAATTAAAATTAACTTGTAACTAATTAAAATTATATTTCTTTGACTTGTATAACAATGATCTGCTGTTCATTTTTTCTCAGAATTTGATTCAGTTTTTTTCTAGAACGTAGTATACCTGTATCTTTTAATATTTTTTTGAAATCTTTGATGTTAGTGATCGTATAATTTTTCTCAACTTCCGAGACTCGTAAGAAGGAAAAGATTAAATATAGACAAATTGACTTTTTTCAAAAGAAATATTCCGAACTAGGATGGTCAAGAGAGTCGATCGATCTCTCAAGTCGCGACGTTGAAAGAAACGGCGCTACACCGTCGTACGTCGGAACTGCGATTCGTCCTTGCGTCTTGTAAACAAACACACCCCCGCTCGTTTATTCACTTTGATTGAACAACATCTTCGCTTCAGCGAGCTGTTGCTCGTTCGACCCAAGTACGTCGTTGTTGTACGTCCGGCATGTTGTTTTCATTAAATTTCTACTCCCAACTTCATAATCACTTTTCGTTAAACACCGGAAATAGGTTTAAATACCGGATTGCAACGAATAGTTACGGGAAATAGTCGATTTATGCGCTTGCATAATATTACAAAAGCGATTAAACACGTATCGTAGCCCTATTTCCAAGGTTGAAAAATTGTTATAAAAAACGATGCATTACTAATAAATTCTATATCGCGATTTTTTGATATAATGTGATTTTGATAATAAAAATCATTATTTAAGTCAATGTTTCTTAAACTTTTATGGTGAATATTTTATGGTGAAATGGATTTATAATTTATTTAAAAAATTACGGAAAGTTTATATATGTATATATATATATATATATATTTAAACATATTATTTGATAAACATTATTAATTAATGTAAAGGTATGATATAATTAAAATAAATTAATATAATAAAATATAATTAAAATCTGAAGTTATCACATTTATACGATGAAAATTTTATGATACATCGCTTTTACAAAATTCTGGAAAAAGATTTAATTGATTTAATGTGATACAATCGCAAATTAATAATTTGCATGAAACTAATACAGATAATAAAACGCAGATGGTAAGTGGTTGTCCATTTTTATGTTCGAAATATGAAAATTCGCAAGAGAGAATCAGTGCACGATGCATTAAATGCAACAGGCGGCAGGCCCACTCTACGCAAGGTCGCGTTGTACTTGTAATCTGATTTTCAACATGCGCTTACGTCCTTGGTCGAATATTTTGTTTAATGGCACAATGCATCTAATATCCGCTGAAGGGCGAATCACGAAACTGATTATTCAATGAATTGCGCAAGGCGATTCTGTATGTCAAGGTATCGCTTCGCTATCATGGAATAATAATGATATTCTTTTATCTCATCTAAATCCGATTTCCCATATGGATATTCCGCATACAAACAATTCCAGTTTGCATTCAAACTTTGCTTGTCACTTCTTTTACTTTTTAATTTTAACTTTACTAAAATTAAAAGCTGAAAATGTTTTTTACTTTTTATTATTAAAGGATTTCTCACGGATTTCATGATTTTTTAAAATTGATTGCAAGTTGCATTCAGGCATTTGGAAATATCAATATTTACGAAAGGAATAGAATTTTTGCTACATAAATGTGTAATTTTTAATATAAAAATTTTTGTGTGCGTAAATATTTGTAAATATTTCTCCATTTATCCGGTATATACTAACAAAAATATTACATGAATATTATAACTTCTTTCACTCAATAATATAAATATAATATAACACATATTGTACAAGTTAATATAACACATATTGTAACAGTTACATTGTTGAGCAGGAAATTATAACGTTGATGCACTGTTATGTCATTGTATTATTATATCATTGATATTTACTGGCTACATTATGTAATACAGCGTTACAATTTAAAATTTTAATCATACCTGAATTGTACAGCATTTTATCTATGTGGGTTATTTTGTTTTATACCACTGAGAACGGCTTAATATATATAATATATATATATATGTATGCTGAAACTTATATAGAGAATTGACTTGAATTTATTAAATACTCTAATAAAAAAATTTGTACAACTTTATAATCTGTAGAGTGATCGAATTCGTTAAAAAATATATAATTAATATAATCACAAGAACAAGCGGTATAATTTATTGCTCTTCTTTATTACATGACATAAATTTTAACTAACTTACTAGTATATTTAATTTTTAAGATTTTAATAGTAAAAAGTAATTTAACAGTGAAAAGTATTTTCCAATTTTTGTTGTCTTTTATTGAATTGATCGAAATTTATGGAATTTTTTCGAGCACATGCATGAGTCGCTCGTGACCGGAAGTACGCCGGACCTTCGAACACGTGTGAGACGCGAGTCACATTACGTGCAACGTGCGTCTGTACAATTGCACAGATTGCTGCCGATGCTTTAATAAAAGCTATCTAGACAAACATTGGCTGCAGAACTGATAAGACCGATCTTTGTTTTAACTAATTACGCGATTTATATGCTACATTAATTACATTGCTGTTTCACAATGCGATATAATTATTGAATCAAACAATTACGTTGATGTGTACAACGATATATATTGTCTGAAAATTAATACTACTTTATCAGACGAATTGAGGATGCCTATCATTATTATGTACATATCGATCTGTCTATTATCAATAATCACTTTAAATGATATATTACAAATTCATGAGCCTTCACAATTTCTTATTTTGTTTTAATTAATTAAATTTTTTTTAAAAACTTAATTTAATTTTTTATCCTGAATGTAAAAAACATCTTTCGTAATACTTTTATATATAAAATATAAATAAGTAAATAAATGTATATATATTATATACTATACATATATGTATAATATATAGATTACTTTTCAAAATTTTTTGATAAATTTTTATATTTTAATTTTTGTATTTTAATTCAATTTATTAATCTGATAGTATAATATAATGATATCATTTTTTTAATTAAAGAAATAAAGTTTTCATAATTTCTTTTTAAAATGAAAAGAATCACATATGTAAGAATTATAATGCATGTTGAACAAATTGTTTCCTTTCTGAGGGGTTCAAATTTAATGAAGTTAGACTATAGGAACATATATTCTTTATAAAAATTGACAAATTATGACAATAACAATTTTAGATCGCTACCACCTGAGTTATCTGGTCACATTTTAATACAAGGGATTAAAGTAAGGACTTGTTCTCCTATTTACGCTTCCAAAATAGGCGTGCAGGCTTTTTCGAAGTTCAGCCTAGGCGATTTTTATCCAGCGTTACGCCGGAATTTAAACGTCACCGTAACGGCGCGTACGACCGGCTTGATTGTCATATTTTATAAACAACGCGGCTGCCGCACAACGGGAACCGTTGTCGGCACGTTTGCTGATTATTTAACAGTGGCCTTGGGGGCCCCCGGCATTTTTTACGTCGTCGAAGCGACCTAGAAAAATAATAAGAAAAGAGCTATCAGCGTACAAATAAACCACGGGAAATATATTTTTTGCCGCGGTGGATTACGGTATCAAGGCGTTAGCGTTAATTGAATTGAATTCATTTCTCGATTCGCGGCATTGAAATTCTAGCATCTGAAGCTTACAGAGTCTCCTTCGGCTTGAAGGACACGAAATTGAGCTCGAAGGTCTACTGAGAATACGCATGCAAACACTTTTTGATATAATGTAGATCTTCTTAAGCTTAAGTAATAAAAAGCTATATATATATAAATGAAAATTATTATTAAGAATTAAGTATGCAATTATTCGCAAACGGAATTCTATTCCGTTTGCGAATAACTGCAGACAATTTAATATGCAAATTAACATTTTATAAGCAACAATTTTATAAGCAACAATTTTATAAGTAACAATTTTATAAGCAAATTTCTTTGCTTATTTAAAAGTAACAATACTGTTGATTTAAAAAAAACAGAGGATTTTTCTTTGAATATATTAACAATATTTTCAGCTTAATCAAGATCTTAATAGATAAAAGACTATTGTCACATTTGAGAAAAGTATCAAACACAATATTTTTAATATGTTTCAGAAATACTTACAGCCCCTGAAAAGCCCTGAAAATGCCGGTCTGGTAGATGCCGCAACAGTCGACGAGATATTTTATCAGGTAAACGTGATATAAGATAAAAACGAGACTATTTTCGTATTTTCGTCGTTAAAAGTATGTACGTCGCACTTATTCCGTGCGCATAAATCTATGCCTCGTCGACAGGTTGTAACTCAACATCCGGGAAGTTCCGCGGAACCAAGGAACTCGTCTCTGTTCACGGGGTTATGTTTTAAATGCTGCGTGTGTGTGTGTTGAGTTGTATATAGACGGAAGATGTCTTTACGATCTCCCGATCGACCAAAGATTTAGGACTAAAATTTGACCACGAAGTCGATCCCGCGTGAATGGCGAACATCATCGACTGCGAAACACTCCGCTCAATTCTTTAAAATTCATTTAAAGCAATGATTAGTTAACAAATTGTTATATGTTAATTATTAATGAATTGTTTCGAAAAGTAGTCGAGGTCATTAATAGTTCATTGTTATAGACATTCATTAGAGAAGAGCTTAAATTCATTGAACATAAATGATATTTGTATAATACTGGAATATATATATATATATATATGTAGGCATTATTATTAGGTAATAATTAGAATATGCGAGTGCATTTATTATATTATATGATATATCATACAATTATCTTTTATTTTTTAATATGTAAACAATAATAATAGAAATTGATACAAATAAACGAAAAGAATAATAGACGGTCAAAGTGGATTTTTGTTTGTAATAATACTTTGTGTGGATTTTTATAATTTTCAGTTTATGCATTTTTTATATAAATTATATCTTATTGAAGATAAAAAATTTTATTAACAAGATATTCTAAAATTTAAAAGCAGCATAAAAACTGAGCTGAGATTACATCACTTCTCTTGTGTTATTTGTCTTTTATTTTTTATATAAATAATAACAAGTAAAAATTGATAAAAGAAAACAAAGATAGATATAAAGGGCCAAAGAAGATCTTGGTTCCTGATAATATTTTTGTGTAAAATTTTACAATTTCCAGTTCAGCATTTGCGATATAAATTATACATATATACATTTATAGAAAATATTAATAATAAATTCAGACATAACAATTAGTTCTCTATTTGTTAGATTCGCGTTTTAATCGATTCTTATATTTCCGTCTGATCTCGTGCAAAATATTATTCGATTGCATGTCTATTAATCAAAGATAAAGTTGTCGAAGGAAAATACTTGCATTTTAGATCCCTGCGCTTCTCAGTCATCATGAGATATTCTTGGAGGAGTTGCGTAGGCGACTGGACACCTGGGAACTCAGGCAGACGATCGGCGACGTCTTCCTCGATGTGGTGAGTTCACATTGTTACTAGGTGCACAAATATCTCCAGCCAGACACGTAATAAATTACACGCGCAACAGTGTTCGTTTCGCTTTGCCGTTAAGATTCCCAGGACGCCAGCAGAATCGACAGACACCGTACAGTTAATTCGCAGGCGCGTTCTTCTATTCGGTCTACGTTAATAAATCGACCAACGTCGCGTGTCCATACCACTCCTTATATAAACACGGAATATTTTTATCTTTGAAAACGCATTTATTTGCGTTCCGCATTTTTTCCGTGTATCATGTATAAATTTACAGCGATTGTTTCGCGATGCCGTCATATTTCAGGATTTTCTCTAAAAAGATACAACGTGAGACGAAAGTTGTTCCTATTTCGGTTACGGCCGAGAGTATGGCCATCGCGAATTAATTCTGGCGTATTGGAATTCGGCGCGCAATTAATAAGTATTACAGAAGAAATTTTGACAAAATTAATTTTGCGTAACTTCAAATTTATGTTATTACTATTTCAAAGAGAGAATAAATTAAGTTTAATAAATTCTTATCCCCAAAATTTGCGCACCCTGCACTTAAACATGTTAATACCATGGATTTATATAAGCTTTTTATTGATTTTATTTAAAAATAAACAAGAAATATGCCATACTTACATTTTTGTGAGGTAAATCTTTTATAGTAGAATATGTATTGTAAAATAATCTGAATCTCAAATATTTTAGATGAAATAATGAAATGTATTTAATTAAAAATTGAACATTTAGAATATGAATCTATTTAGATAATATTTATTTTATGTAAACTTTTATTCAAGAGTATTTCCATAATATATCCTTAATTTAACGAAGGATTAAGTAATAGTTAAATACTTTTATTTTAAATAACACTTTTTTATAGAATTGCGTTTCGTGTATGAGATATACATTTTCACCGGTATGTAAAGATATATAAAGAGCTCGTGTCGCTTTGTAGTTCACGAAGCCGGTGGTGCTGGAGACATACACCCTGTTTCTGGACAATTGGAAGTCTGCGAGAAAGGCGATAAAAACAACGTGCCAAGCGAAGCCGGCCTTCGCACGATTTCTCGAGGTACGCTGCACATTCTATCGTTGCGACTCTTCATATACATATACGTATATGTACTCGTATATCACACATACACATATATATATATTTTTCTCTCTTCATAACGCGACGGTTATTATTAAATACGAAACTTTTTCATTCCACGTCGCTTCTTAAAGCGTCGCGATCAAACCTGACCTTTCGTAATTTTATCGATATAATTAACTTGTTACTTGACTGCCGGTGTCGCCGTCGCCTACTTACCGCTTAGATTCCCATGAGGCTGGGTGCATCTTCGACACACTTGGCAACTTGCGTCTCGGAGCTTACGAAGTATCGACCGTTTTAAACACTAAAACGCGCTTAAACTGTCAAGCTCGAAATTGTCATTGTGCTTTATCATTGATCTTATAATAGAACTTAAATAGAACACTGAAATCACAATAATATTATAAGGATATCATTCTGACCTTATATTTGATACTTATAAGTTTATTTTTAAATATCAAATGACGTCATGGCATTTTATGACTTAATATGACTTTGTTCTACTCTGGAGCACATAAAAATTAGTGATTTCACTAATTGTTATTTTTTTTTATTCATGATAGCTCATAAAAGTATCTTATGGCATTATACAGGATGGGGCATTTTAATCGCCTCAGGTGAATATCTCAGAAACTAAGAGAGATACAAGAAAAAGGTTTATATGAAAGTTATAGATTTTCTTGGGGAAAAGAAGGTGGAAATAACGGATTTTGGATAGGGGGCACTACCGAGGTCAGGTCAGGGTCAACATTTCTTCATGAAAAAATACTTCATGAAAAAATATTTTATTATAGCGTTCTGGAAAGCTCTCGAGGTATGCTACAAGAATATGTAATAAAAAATTGGGGTTTTCATTTAAAAATTCATGTTGACTCTGACCTTGGTAGTGCCCCCTGATCAAAACCCGTTATGTCCACCTTCTTTCCCCTAAGAAAACCTACAACTTTCATATAAAACTTTTTCTTGTATCTCTTTTAGTTTCTGAGATATTCACTTGGGGCGATTAAAATGCTCCATCCTGTATATACGGATGTAATATATATTTCTTCAAAGTGCTTTCTCTAAAGCGACTACATTTTATTTAAAAAATTTAATTCTTTATATCATTATTAGGACAACCAAAATATGTATAGGGCATCTTTTTTTTGTTTGACTAATAAAGAAATAAACTAAATACAAGTTTGTTTCATAAGAAATTATGTATTTTGAGCCCTATATGTTACAGCATATTTTTGCATATTTCGTCCACATGTGCACAATATTTACATGTTTTATTTATTTTTATTGTATATTTCACATCATTTTCTAATTTATAATTACGTTATTATAAGTAAAAAACTTAATTAATTTTTTGAAAATTTGTGCGATAAAAAGTAATTTTCAAATGCATATATTCCTTTCTTTAGAGCATTTTTTTAATTTCACAGAGCATATTTTAGGCGTTTAAAAAAGGATTTTTACAGCATAATTTTGGTTGCTTTAATCGTTATGTAAGATTTCGATTGGATCATTATGAGATTATTGTGACTATACAGTACCTAATAACTATTATTGTTTCGTTTAACTCATTTTAAAACTCGGAGTAAATTACAAAAAGCTCCCAGATGGTAGATCACACATTGTTATGATTAAACAATGGAAGGTAGATCACACTTTGTTATGATTAGACAATGGAACGCGAGCACAAGGGCAAGCTGGGACTGGACCAGTTGCTGATCAAACCAGTACAGAAAATCCCGCGGTACGAACTGTTGATCCAGAGGTTGCTAAAACACACGGATCCGACACATCCTGATTACGAACTGCTGCAGGCCGCGCAGAAAGAAGTGCACGAGCTAGTTGTAAAGATCAACTGCACGGAAAGGGAATCGCTCGAATGGGAACAGCAGCAGACGACGTTGAGGGAGGTCCAGGCCCTTGTCGAAGGTCTCGCCGGCATCGTAACGAACGACAGGTAATAACCAGCAAACTGATATTAGTTTGTAATTTTTATACTAATCGAATGCAGATGATACCTAGTTCAGTTTTGTTTTTCTGAAGACAGCTGGTCTCGGATTTACAATCGACATGTAGCATTGATTTACGATCATTTGCAACGTAATACCTTCAATTTATGTACAATAATTGTATAATGCGATTTATTACGACGGGAAGATAATTCCTAATCGTTTTCTCATTTTTGCACCTACGGAGAATGTTGAAACTCAATTTCGCTGAAGCGTGCTGGAAAACAAAAGAGTGGAAATAAGTCTACAAATTATAAAATCAATCGCTCAATTTACAAACTGGATTGGAGAGAGTGTACTTAAAGTCATACTTCATCATTCATATTTTCTTTGTTTTTAGATATTAAGTACAAGGGAAAATTTTTTATAAGGTCAAGTTATAATAATAATTGCTAGGTGTTTGTGCTGTCACAATATCATTATTCATGATATTGATACTAATATTTAAATAAATGTAAAAATTATTATATGCTATTGTAACAAAAATATTATAGAATAGTCATTTGAATTGATTACTAGAAATGTAAATAATTAAGAAGATGCGTACTGCTTTTATAGACCATTTTGAATAACGTTTTCCAATAAATTATCGACTATTGCTGTGACAGAAACGTCGTCCTACTTCGCGTGCCTTTCAATCTGTGCCAATCGTCTCATACGCGTTACATAGTTTTTCCACTGGACTTATTTAGCCATCAGAATCGGAGTATTGATTACCGATAATGATGCGTGCTGTAGCGGAAACTGGCCACGACGCGACAAAAAGATTCATCGAATTCATCGTGTGACACGTTGTCCGCTTTCTCTGCCATAGAGCTTTCGTCCGACACGATCTGGTCACCATAGCATCGAATCAGGGCACACGGAAGGAACGGGCTTTATTTTTATTCTCCGATCTCCTCGTCATCACCAGCATCAAGCGCAGAAGCGGTACAATAAGGAAACCGTCAACGTAAGCAAATTTATCTAAAATATTTTAATAATAAAGACAGCAATTATTATAATATTCTATACTTAGCAGTGTGACAAAATAAATATTTTTGAGGATTTATTTATTTAAATTGACCTTGTTTCATCTAGCATTTTAATAAAAAGAATTTAATAGATACATAATATGTAGAAATATTGTTAGATTACCAAACATTTATTTAAAGCTTTCTTAAAATAATTTTTATGTATATATAACGCAGATAATTAGTCTTATTTTTTTTAAGTACTAAGTATAACACAAGTAAACAAGATTAATATAAAAGCAGTTCTTTCTAGCTATTGTCTAAATTGTAAAGTAATTAATCTGTAATATACGAACTTTAATGTAAATGATTTGCGTATTACATAATTTTTTACATAAAGATAAATAGTTTTTAATTTTTATACATGAATATAAGGTAAACAGAAAATTTTTATGATAATAAAAATACAAGAAAGATAAAAATTCGCAGAAGCACGTGTCCGAACAGTCTGGTCGGTCTGCTTGATGCAAATAAGTATAAAATGTTGATGCGAATCTCACTGGATGATCTCGAAGTAATGAAAGGTATCGTAGAAACACAAATTTAGTATCTTACTCATCGTTCAAACTTGAGATTACTGCAATATCGTTTCCAGCCAAAGATGAAAATTTAAGACGAATGGCGCGCGAAGTGGATTATCTCCGAGAAGACTGTACAAAGTTGTCTCAGCTGCAGGAGTTGGCCATAACTTTGCATGGTGCCAAGCAACAGTTGGAAGACCTTATCAAGGATATGCTAAGTCAGGCCCAGCGGCAATTGGCAGAAAGAAACGCGGCGCATTCGCAGTTGGCTTGCTTGGAACTTACACTCAATACTCAGTAAGCATGTTTCTCGGAAATTAAGCAAGACAAAGAAATATATATAAGAAACTTAGGGGAACAATGACGATAAAATTTGTTCTAAAGTAATATTTACGATTATGCTCGAATCCTTAATTACTGTATATGCCAAGATAAAGTAAAAGTACAATCTTTGCAACAGTATTATAGAGTAAAAATTCTTGCTACACAAAATATACAAGTTTATAATGTTTATATTTTTATAATTTTACAATTTATATGTAGTCACTGAAACAAGGAAATTGATGACGATAAGTAAATTTAGTTTGACGAGGTATTAATGGAAAAGCGTTTTATTTAATATTACAAGATTAACATCGTGAGATCCTTTGATCATTCTCAGAAGATTGTTTTCGATCACTGTTCCATTACGCGTGCTCAAAATCGAATTCCTAAATCATAATGATTCGATCATGGTAGTAATGTGACTCACTTTTATGTAACTACACTTATATACTTCGTTTGTAGAGCTGGGATCGAGAATATATCCGTCATGTTCGCGAAGCCTGACAAGCGTGCGAGTTGGGAGGAGAGCTTTAATGAAGCCAAACAGAAGCTCGGTGAGTAATTTTACTTTTTCACGTCGAACATTTCACGTTAAAAAAACCATTTCTGATAAAATGATTTATTGGTATTAATATATATTCTAAATATAATAGCTTTTATTATATCGTTCGATAGAGCAATATAACAAACATATATTTTTAGATATATCGAATATTTTGTTATCAATTTTACAAATTGATAACAAAATATTAAATGAAGAGTTAAATGAATTAAGAGGTGTGTAAAAGTTAAATAGCGATTCAGAAATAAATATGACATTTTGTTTAATAAAATATTGATCATTGATTCTAAAAATACACATCGAACCGAATTACAAAATATTTTGTAATTTGTGACAGTTTAAGATGATTGAAGTACAAACATACGCGCGCGCGTACTTTCTAAAACTTTTAGAGTGGATCTAAAACTCTCTGAAGAGTGAAATCTCACTCTTAAAGATTGAAAATTGAGTCACTCTTTTTCAAGATTAGCTCAATTTTCACTCTTTAGAGTGAGATTCCATTCCAAAGAATTTAGAGAGTATAAAATATATTCTTACAAATTAATTTTCCAATCTATTATGTATCTTTTATTTTTTTAATTAAATAATAAAAATTTATAAGACAATTTCAAGTACGTTCTCATTCTGTGTGTAGCGTTATCAGCTGACAGGAGACCGTGTCCTGAATTCGTGGGGCCTTTGCCCATCAGGAAAACGCGAGCGGGCCTTCAGTTTACTTGCGCGGCACCGACGTTGGCGAACGGACAGGGATCGAAGGACGTCTGGGTATGTAACAGCGACGGTTACGTCGGTCAGGTGTGCGTGCTGAGTTTGAGCCCGGAACCACCGCAAGTAACATCGTGCAACGGAGTCTGTAACGCCAGGATACTCTGCGTCGCTGGAATACCCGCGTGCACGCCTGGGTAAGATCGGTGAGGTGATGCAGGCAGATGCGTGAAGGAGTTTGATATTAATTTCGACAAGATATGCAATTAAATAACGAGTGGAAAGAGAGGCACGAGCACATGATTTTAAAATATGTTCTTTTTTCAGTTCAAACTTGTGCATGTCGAACAACAGTCCGTTCGTTAACAGCAAGAATAGTATAAGCATATCGGTGCAAGACGTGGATGCTAGCGGCGGTAACATACAGTTAGACAGGTAATATTTCTTCCGTGGCAATCGCGACTGACGCGTAAATAATATTTGAGACTTGGCAGTATTAAGCGGTTTATAATTAGCTATTATGATTTATTGATAATGGCGAATATTAATAATGGCCATATTATTCCTCTTTCATTAGGTTAAACATAAATATTCGGAACACTGATTCAGTTAACACACCTCATGCCTATATTTATAACTTAAAAAAAAATATATATATATTAATTAATATTTAAAGTTAAATAATTATACTAAAGTTTATTTTAATTATTGGTCATAAAATTTTCCTCAAGTTTAGAGTAATCGTAGTTTGAATAGAAGACTGCGAATATACAAGGATGAATCGATTACCATAATGTTGCTTTTGTTTAATATTTATCTTTGCTTGTGCATTTTGCAGTAGCTCGAGCTCTGACGATTCGGACTCGGACGACATTCCAAGCGCAGATACGGGCAGTGTAACACTGAGCGGCGATGTATCGAGTATCGATAATACTATCACGGAAGAGGATGCGAATCAGCCCACAATGTGGCTAGGAACTGAAGACGGCTGCATTCACGTGTATAACTGCAACGATAACATTCGGATCAAGAAAAACAAAGTGAAGATACAGCACGGCAGCAGCGTGCATTGCATTATGTAAGTTGTTCTGGTCTATTTTATTATTATATCAAAAAGATAGGAATACTGTTCTTATTTCTATATTTTTATTCCTATTTCTTTTCCATAATTATATTTTAAACTCTCGCGATTGCTTCGTGATTTCAGATACTTGGATAACAAGGTGTTCGTTTCTCTTGCCAATGGAGACATCACCGTTTATGTTCGGGACCATAGTACGTGTTGACTTTTGATAATTTTTTTCGTAATTAAGCAATAAAATTGTCTTGAGCGCAAATTTTATTCTTCGTTTTATTTCATTCTTCTTTTTTTTACTTTTAGCCGGTGGATGGAACACTCCGGATCCAACGACGGTGTCCGTTGGGACGGTAGCGTCACCGGTGACCAAAATGCTGTCTGTCTCCGGGAAACTTTGGTGCGGGTGTCACAACAGCGTTAAAGTTTTGAATACCTACACCCTGGATATCGAGCACACGTTCACTGTAAGCAGCGATACGAGCCGCGCTGTTTCCTGTATGGCAAACTCTGGAGGTTTAGGCGTTTGGATTTCCTTACACAACAGCGCTGTGCTGAGGCTTTTCCATTCCGGTACATACGAATGCCTAACCGATATCAACATCGCGCCAGCTGTTACCAAAATGCTTGCCAGTAAGTCTCAAATCTTGAATAATCGGATATCCAATTAAATTAGTAGATAAATTTAAAGAAACTATTTTAAAAGGACAATTGTAATAAGTTAATCTAGATTACCGTATGAATAAATCAAATAAGTAAAGAAAGAGGGCCAATTAAAAAGCATAAATTAAAATAACGAAATTTTATACAACTTTAATGGTACATTTAGGATTTCGTAAACATCTTATCAATTTAAAATTGCCTTTTCTCGTTGGACTGTAACTTAATTTTTATGTAAATGATAGGTATCCAGTTAACTTAAAAAAACATTAATTATTCACCATTAATTATTCAACATTAAGATATTAAATAAATTAGGTGTGACATATTTGCCTCTTAAATATATTGAAATGAATAATATCTGAACTAATTAACCGATTGGTACAAACTTTAAAAACGAGTCCTAAGAGATAAAATTTGACATTTATTTTAACGGAAGCATTAAATTTGTTGCAGGTTGTGATGACATAATTCGGCAGCACAAGGCAGCCTGTCTCAGGGTCACCGCACTATTGGCTTGCAACGAGTTGCTTTGGATCGGCACGAGTGCTGGCGTGCTGCTCACCGTGCCAATTCCCCATATAAAGCCATCCACTCAGAGGATGTCGCAGCCACCGATCGTGACTGGTGCGTATTGACGTCATATTCTATCGCCTGTGTCGCCGTTATTATTGCCCCGCGATATAATTAGAAAGCTGGCTGACACCCCAAATCGCGCGCGATCTCCGTCCACGTGGAAGGATACAGGAGCAATCGATCAATGTCATGTTTTTTTCATCGCATTAAAATATATACTTACATACGTACATACAAACATACATCATTACGTGAATATACGTATTATGAATATCACATGTATATATATCTGGGTGTATCTAAGGGGGATTGAAAGGTTCAACAAATTTTTTATTTACTTTTTTAATTTTAATTATTGAAAAAATTGAATTTATTTTTAACTTTGAGTAATTTTTTGTCACAATATTTTTTCTCCCTATTATGACCATGCAATTTTTGTAATTTTCGTTAATGATACTTTTGACAAAGTATCCGATACAAGGAAAATAAATTTTCGCAAGATTTTTGAGTCGAAAAATAAAATATGCAAGAAGTACTTCATTCACAACTGTACATGTTGTTTTTAATAACTATATTTTGTATACTTTCTTCAGAAAAAAATAAAAGTTATGATTTATAAAATATTCTTCCTATTCATAATCAGAAACGAGAAGAAGACATTTTAAGCTTTAAAATAGAAAAAAACAATTTATTAAATCCAAAAAAATTACTGTTTAAGTGGTAACAAAATTGATACCCCTTCTTTATTTGAAAACAAATCTTATTTAAAATATGAATTATTCTCAGATTTATTGTACAACTGATAGAATTTTGTCATAAATAAGAAACGAATCGGTGTTACAAAGATTTTGAGAAAAAATGGTACGAGAAATTATTTTTAACAGTTAATTTGTTAAAATTGTGGTTAAAGATTTTAAAGATTGAAATTTATATGTTTTACATTCACTAAACCGTAAGATTTTTGTTAAATCAAATAGTAAAATTGTAATATTCTGCATAGGAATTCCTCACGGACACACAGGACACGTGCGTTTTCTCACCTGCGTAGAAACACCGAATCCCTCGAAACCGGACCCTCGTCCAAAAGTGAATCGTTATTCATTGAAATCGAATAAAACGCAGCAGAACAACATCAATCGTGGTAAACTCCTGGTGATATCCGGTGGAGACGGTTATGAGGACTTTCGCGGACCTCAAGCTTCGGCCGAGTTGCAGGCTGGTCGCGAGGACTCCACGAACCATCTACTGCTGTGGAAAGTGTGATACGATGTAGCACGACCCCAGGTAAAAGACACAAAAAATGCCAAATAAAAGATACAAATGTTCCGCCGTGAAATTTAATTTAAAATAGATAAACTTGTAAATCAATCATTAAATAACATATATGATACACTGTAATTACACTGCATATTTCTTTATGTTACTGTTATGTGTACAAAAGAAAGAAGATTGAATAAATTTGTATTGTAGAGAAATTTGTTCTTTTTTGTAGAAAATTTATTATTTATTTGAAAAAAATATGTTTAAAGTATAGTTTTTTCCACCAAGACAGTTTTATATTTTTTTTTTCGGCTTAGTTTTATTAATTGGCTACTACATTAAAAGTTGTCCTTAAATATCTTATTGATATTATATGCTAAATAAAATTTTTCATCATGCTGAATATCGTTCAGGATGATACAGTAACCACTTTACTTCTAGTAAGTATGCATTACTTTATCAAAATTTTAAACATGAAATCCATCTTTATATCCCAGTAGCATTTAAACGTTTACAATTTTATCTGTAATACTTATATATTTATATATTTATTTGTATTTCTTGTAGCTGTGATTTTATCTTATTATATCAATTTTATTACGTCATAAAATTTTATTTCTTTTCTTCTCTTATGTGTTTTTCTGAAAATCTAAAAAAATTTTATTTCTTGACATAACAAGATTTTTTTATTTATATTGAAATTCATATATACATATATGTAATTTTCAGAGGCACTCTTAAATATGAGTATTCCTCCAAAATAGCATGACGAGATATTAAAATAAAAAAATAATTTTATTCCGTCGCAAGAAGTAAATTGAAATATGTCTAATATAATCATATTGAAATTCATTTGCTCAAACTGATTGAAATTATCAATAATATCTAAAAGTGACTACACCACGATTATTATAAGGCATTTGGTAATTTGTTAAATTCATAATTTTTGTTAAAAGCATAAAAAGAAAATATTATATTTTAAAAGATATAAAAGAAAAGATATCATGACATTTACCACTAATGCAATAAATTCAGTAATTATCAATAATTTTAGACATTACTATAATTTACAATTATACGTACGCTAGTATGAATTTTTAGATTGGTTAGTAGGATAGACGCTATATCTTAGAAAGACCTTATTGTTAGTTCAGCATGTTCAATCTTGATGGACCTTTGTATCTATAGACATTGTAAATAAATTGTAGGAAAGGATAATCTGACGAAAATAATCTATATTACAGACAAGGGTCGCGGTAAATGAAAACTGGCATGACACGCCGTGGGAATCGTTGTTGTATGTGCAGCACGCAGGCGGACGCCGTCGTCGTCGTCTGATCGTGGCCGGTCAGGACGCATCAGCGCGCCGGGTTTTCAGGGAACGCGGGAAGGTTCTCTGGTTGATATTAGCCGAGTGGATCAAGAGCAAGATGCGAGAACTGCATTCTCAAGACATAAAGAAGTATCGGTTGCAGTTCGCACAGGAGTCCGACCGATCGAGGACGGTCACGGATTTGTCTTAATCATCGTTGTGCAATTTATGAGCGGATCTGCTATTTCTGACCATGATCAATTACGTCGGTCTGATGCAAGATCATTTACCAACGATGAGAGTGCTCGATGGCCGTGAGTTTTTTTCGTTTTCTTAAATACATATCCGAAATTATTGGACATTAATATATAAAAAATGTTACATGATGTTTAGATTTGAACGTTTGAAACATTTTTCCTTTACATTGTTAAATTATTAGCAATTTGCTTTTGTATATATTAAAATATAACAATTAAAAAAATATACATATTTATCTCGATTTATCTATATTTGCAATATCTGTATATATTCTAAACAGTTGATTTCTCTGTGGTTTGAGCACGTGCCTTTGGTAAATTATTAATATCGAACGAATTGCGGGATCGAATCTTATGTTGGAAATAGTAAGATCTGATCCTTGATGTAATTTTCGATGTCAATGTATGTTTGCTATACACACGAAGACATAATCTCGAAAATGGTCCACATGTTAAAATAACATATTTCAAAACAATATACAGATCCAAAGAATGTCTGTAAGAACGTTTATAAAAAAATAAGATTTATATAAGGATGGAATCTCTTTTAAGTGTCTTCATGATGCTTTTTAGGTGTTTATATCGTTCGGATTTGATTCGTGCGCGTGTTTTTTTTAGCTACACTTTCTAATATCTTACACGTTCAAAATGGAATAAAAAATATAATCAAACTTTAAAAGAAAAAAATTGCCGAAAAATATAGAAAGTGTTACTAAAGCTGTATTCTAAAATTTACTGCCACTACTGAAAATCTGAACAGTTTACGTTACATGCATTATAGATTGTCAGTACTGGCAGTAAATGGGAAACACAGCCTAAATAAAACAGATCTTCCATTTTGGACTGAATTATGATCAGGTAAAAACTATCGACGTTGAAAAATCGATGGAATACTGTACCTGGACGTAAAATCGAGCTTATATGTGTATATGTATTAAGTCTGGCCTACATTAATTAGCAGATATAGAGATCTATATTTCTTACAAATAATGAAGTGCCAAAAAGAAAAAAAAGAGAAAAAGAGAATGAATTTCGCTCCTTATTTGTCGATCGACTGCGAAAGTACCGACGTACTTTGTTATTTCCAGTACGTGATATAATATGGTGTAACTCGATGTGTTCGTGTTAATTGTTTAAGAGTTTATCGAGTTCGTGTACATCAAGTGCATTGAAGTCCAAAATAGATGGATTTATTTATTTGAAGGAGATGAGGAATAAAGAAATTTGAAGCTTTCGCGTATTAGAAGTGACTGTTTATATTTTCTCTGCGCGCGCACGCGCGCACGTGGAAGGTGCAGTACGTATGCGTGTATGTTTGTGGACTTCATTATCTTCTAATTAAAACTACAAGTTAGTAAAAACAAATTTACAATCGCAAGCCAATAAAAGTGCCGATAATTCTGTCACAAAGTTGCCATCATGTATGTCTTTTTTTTGTCTATGAGCTTTATAAAATAATCATTATTACAATATGTGAAAATCTGTTGTAAATTTATAAACTTAACTGTGATGAATGTTTAAAGGCGATTGTATTTTCAAAAGTTATCTTTTTTCAATATTTTATTAAACAAAATTATTTTAAATAGAAATCATTGGTAAAACAATCTTTGATTTATCCTTTAAATATATTCACTTGTCTATTTAACAATTCGTCCGGATATAACTATTTGTCCACTTATTTTGAATTTATTTTTAAGTTGTTTAATAATCATTTATCACATAATTTATAATGAAAAAATCTAAAATGAATAATTCTGGAATGAAGAGAAATAAATAATTCCGAAAGAATTGTGCATTACTGTTTTATGATTATTTGATCGTCTACAGTCTCTGCATCTACAAAACTTCATAATTAATGTTTTGCTGAATAATATAATAATTTAAAATTACATTTATAATTCAAAATGGATTTGAACCTGACAGAAGTATGCAACAAAGTCCATATAACCGCAAGTGATTTAAATAATTAACTTTTTAATAAACATACAACATACCTGTGACAATAATTAATTGATAATGAATCTCGAAATAACTGTATACGAGACCATGTATGTAGTTATTAGTGTTTTGACATCTTTTGTTCTCAAAACGATTATTGCAACGGCAAAACAGTTACTCCGATTCCGTGTGAACGTAGTGACTTACTCGGCGTTGTAGATTTAATCGATATTTAATTTGTTGCAATATAAAAATGAGTTGATTCGCGTGAGAAGAATATAACAAATTCATAAATTGAGTAATTATGTTAAGAATTAATTTGTTATTTGCATTACACAATTTTGACTTTTATGTCCTATTATTATTATTATTTTGTTGTATTTAAAACAAATAGATCTTTTTAGATAAAGAAATTATGGTATTTGTCATTTTATGCAATTTCACGGTCTTTCCATTCTACTATATATTTGCCAATTCTATTTATTGTACATATGTCAGTTGTAATGTTGAAACTGGAACTTCGAATGCACTTGTTTATTGCATAAAAGCGATATTTTGTCAGAAAGAGATTGTCAAATTATATAAATTTTTTGTCAAATTAATACAAACAAAAGTATATGTGTATGTACGTTTATGAATGATATATAATCAAGTGTAATTTCGATCTCCAAGGAATCGAGCTCCAAGCTCCAAAATATGCAGGGTTTAACAAAACATCGCGGAAAGGGAGAAAAAAATGTAATGGTAATTATGAGAAAGATATAATGGTAATTTTTAACTATAATTGAAATTGATTATTATCAAATCAGAAGCAAATTATATTATAAGACGTTAAGCTTTTCGATATAATATATATATATATTGATGATATCAAATATAACAAATAATTTTCTTTATTAAAAGCAATTAGTATCTGTCTGTGAATTATAATTTTAACATAGATAACGTTTTAGTTTATTGTTAGCGTATTATATCTATGCAAATATTTATTTATTTCTTACAAATTCATTATACAACATTAGTATAAACGCGATCACAATAAATCACAATCTTCTCTACGAGCGACTATAATGTTACATCCTGCATACGCGAACATATGTATACAAATTTTAGTTAAACTTGCATTTGAGATGTGTATATTTCTTACAAGCGACTCGACTTTTCGACAGTAACTTATTTTTGACATTATCGGTGGCTAACAGCGAGTTACCTGCCGACATAATTGTATACTTGTATTATACTTTAATTTCATTCGATCCTTGATTTATCTCGCGCTGCGCTTTGCTACATTTTGATCATTATTGACTGGCGCGACGTGACGATATTTTAATTTAGATGCTGCACAGAAAGTGCGAAGTGTATGTTTGCATTCTATTCTTTTTTGTACACGAAAATATTCGTGGATGTATGTCTGTCCTGGAGAACGGAAGGTGAGTCGTGATCTAGATAATTTCGGATTAATGTTTATTTGAAAGTTGTTAAACGCGCAAATGCTACGCGACGTTGTGCGGCATACGTTAAGTAGATTAACATATGTATGTATGATATTATGTACAAATAACGATACTCGTTTAAAATAAAGTCGTTTACAAATATACGACATTCCTATTTTCTAGGTTGTAATTGCACACAATATGAAATATAATATAGAAATACGTATAATAGACTTCTCTCTCGCGGTACGTACATTGCGTTTGAAACTGAACAATAATTTCAAAAATATGAAACTTTGATAAAAATTTTTTAAATTATTTTTTTTATGTTTTATAAGAGCGTGTATGAACTTTATATCTCGTAAACTACATTAAAAAAAAATGTATCCTCCAAAATATTGTCATTTATATCCGCATCCTATATTTGAATTTTTAATATTGGAAATATATTTTTTATTAAGTCATGGTTATATCACACTTTGGTAATTTGCGCGATTAATTGTATTCCGTCATTCATTCTCGCGCTCTCGTTGACTAGAAACTTGCATAAACAAACATATTTAAGTATACCGTAATTACTTATTTACAAATTAAAATTTTCTTTTTCAAGTAATTTTTAAGTCAAATTTTGATTTTGCGTATCGAAAATCAACATCGCTTTCACTTGCCTTATGCAAATGAATGGAGTTAATTAAAAGCTGTCTGCGAATATCTTCCAGTCGAAGCGATTCAAAGCTTTACACGTGGATTACGTCGTGATTTTTCAATCGCTTTAGGAAGATCATTCGCATAGGCCGATCTCAGAGAGATGCTGTAACCAGATGCGAATCGTGCTCTTCGCTAACGGGGGTTGATGGAGTTTCAGTGTTCGGTGTGGGTGGACCATTAGTGCTACATTGGTGATCGATCGTACCTGTTGCATGAAATAATTTTTGTGACAGTGCTGCAGTAAATTTTAATATTATTTTTTTCTTGTTAACACTATAATCTTATTTTTTCTACTTTATTATATTTATCATATTTAATTATTTTATTTTTTACTACGATGATCTTATGAAGTTAATAACGTAAATTGATACTTGCTTTATATAATTCGATTTATATATTTTTTTTAATACATTAATTATTGTAACATGTGATTAAAGATATATTTTGACTAAAGATAGATTTTTCAACTTTAATTAATGTTCATGTATTGTCTTACCTGTAAAAGAGTTGGAGCGGCTTTTATAGGATGAATCAGGCCAACAGATCCTACAGAGGGGCTTCAACAATCGGAATCTCGGCCGGGGCATTCGTAAAAGAACATAAATATATGGATCCAAGGTAAAGTGAATGCACAAAAGAATATCGGCTATAATATGAAAGATTCGAATGCATTTTATAGCGATCGCCGTTTTAGGTAAATGCATTGCGAATTGAGCCAATGGAATAGAAATCTAGAGAAGAAAATTAACAGAATTTAATAATTTAGAGTTTAATAATTTAACCTAATTAATTAATAAAAAAATTTAGTCAACCATTGTAGGTAGAACGTTATTCCTACAAAAAAAAAACATTTAAGGGCAGGGAGAGACATTCGCAATTGTGTTATTAAATCCTTTCTTTTACAAAATTTTTATAAATAAAATAAATGGGCTGTAAACATATATAACAGTGACGTCTTTAATTTAATCGTATAAAAAATATTTGGTTATGTCATATCTCTCTATTTTGTCATATACTATATTATCTATAATTATAGCAATATTTTGCGAATTAATTTACTCCGCGTGTAAAATTTTCTATCACCTGATAAAACCGTCAACAGGATGAAATCAATTCAGAGACGATCAGAATATTAGCTCGCGGATGTCTCGATGGCTTGTACGTGAAACTATTCTCAAATATTGATCATTTATCTTTGTTCGACCTTCGCTTTTAGCGGAAGCGCGCGATATTTCTGTACTGGTTAGATGTAATAAATAATAATGATCATCGTTTCCGGCAAGAAGATGCTTGCTGTAAGTCAATCAATTTATTTATAAAAATCTCAACTATTTTCTTTGTATGAGAATTTTTATTTAGTATTGTCAAACTTTTAATATTATTTATCATATTGTTATTATTTACTATGATTTCTTCTTTATCTCTTTCTTCTTATTATTATCTGTTTATAACGCAAAAATTATAGTAATAATTCATTCCGCAATTTTTTCATTGTTTTATCTTTAAATATTTTCTTGATAAAAACATTTTTACATGAAAAGTATCTTTTTAAAAATTCAATATGTCATCGAAATGTTTTCACACCGTATATAAGAATATCAAGAATTATTTCAATAAATATTATAAAAATTATTTCTTTCATTTTTTTTTCAATATTATTAAGATTAAAATGGATGAACGTCGTAAATATAACAGAAAACATCGACTTAAAACAGTATTCAGTAAGCAAATCTCACGCGATCCCCTCGTAGGATATTGTCGAAAGTAGAGTCTATTCCCGACAAAATTTTTGCAAGGTCATGCTATATTTATAGCGACGAATAATAAAAAAGAATATAACTGGAAAAGGCAGGACTTTATAAGATTTCCCCTTTAACTACAAGGGAAGAAAATTGGAAACCGTTCTTCTTGGAAACGTAATTCTATTCTTCATTCTGCCTTTACTGCTTATAAACATTAATCCATATTTTCTCCTATTACCTGAACCTGTGATCTCTAAACCTTTAACGAATCCTTATTACGTGCATTAGATTATTTCTTTTCTTTTTTTTGCTGTTTTCTATTTGTCTTCTTTATTTCTCTTGTCTGTTAGAGTTTGATAACAGATAATTATTGATTAAGTGAAAGGGTACATCAATTGAATGAGATATAGGCTGCTTTCGGGCAATGTGTTATCAGCTATTGTGTCTATTGTTCATTAAATAAGATAGTAAAACAAGAATGAAATGATTCAATAGCGTTGATATTGCGTTCCCCGAATACAACCATACATGTATATTCATTTAAATATAAACTAATTAATTAAATTACTAATTATTTAAATATAAAAAATAATAGAAAACAGGAAGTTATATATGTTACAGAAACGAAACACATTAATATTACTTTATTACATTAATTTATTTTATCAGTAAAATTTATTTTCTGTAATTTATTATTTTACTGCACTTTTAATTATTATTTCATTTTTTATATTTATTTATTATTAATATTAATTATATCGTTTTTACACAATTTTGTCATAAGTTTAGATTATATAATCATAAATTAATTAATTACCGATAAACTTACCATGTGTGGCATCCAGCAAATAACGAATGATATTGATAATACAGCCATAAGCCTTGCGAATGCTCTTTCTTCGGTCGTAACTGTTTCTAATCGATGTGGTGTATGTACTCCGGTTATGGTCAGCAAAGGTTTTGCCCTCGACGAGGCTCTGGAGATTCTCCCAAGAGCAACTGTACGACGACTTAATTTATTTAAAGCCCTAGAAACTGCCAAGTTGCACCAGACAATTGACAAACATAAAAGAGTACCTATAATTTAAAAAGAATTAGAATATTCAATAACCTGAAAATAATTTTGTTCATAATTGAATCCTTTTTGTTAAAACTGGAAACATAATTATAATAATTGCCATAATTATTTATAGCAATTATTATATAAATGTTGATGTGTTTATATTGAAATTAATAAAATAGAATAATCTACCAAATAAATATTATTATATCTTTTTTAATAATCAGTAATTCTTTCTTTTTATTATATGCTTATTTACTCACCAAAAATAAACCATACATAAGCATAAGCGATATCGCTCGGCTCTGTGGCCTCTCTGTAACGTACGCATTGTTTGTCTTTATAATACAATCCGAAGCCCATAACCGGAAGGCTGGTTATCGTTAATGCAATCAACCAAAGCGCCAACATACAACGCACAATTACCGGATACGTCACCTGCTGAAAGATACATGCGTGTTATCCATTAAGACATCGAGACACATCGATGCAGATATCGACTTTTTGTTGCACTTTCGTTTTGCAATAACTACAGATTGAAGAAACCGAGAAAAATCAATTCGACGCAATTTATACTGCTATAGATTAATGAAAAATGAACAACGAAAAAAGAAAAACGAAGTGACACAAACTAATAGTCTCTATTTATAAATTTACTTATAATCTTTCATTAATTTCTGTTTCTATTTAATATTGTAAAAAAAATAATTTTATAATTTTTTATATAAGAGAATATTTTATAAGAAGACTACATTCATGAATGAGAAATGCAGGCCCTGTGGGGAAGGTCGTGGCACGCCAGGATCGGAAATCTAGCCGGGCGCTACCTAGTATTTCATTTAGGCGCTAGACAGAATTATGCTAGGGATGCCAAGAATGGGAAAACTAGCCGAGGATTAGCTAGCGCCCGGCCGGTGAGGCAGGATCATAATAACCATGATAGAAGTATAAGGGTATGCTCTTGCGCGCATGGCCACACCCACTGTCCAATCAAAATATGTAGCAAGATACGTCATCATTAAGCGCGAAATTCGAACGTATGCTTTTAAGTATGCCTTTCAATCCGAAAAATTTTCCAACTCCTTTCAATCCGACTCATTTTTTGTCTTATGATGATAATTTCCGCATCCTTTAACCGCACAACGTATTTTGAATGTGAAATCACTCGACTTTGCACTACAGAATTTATTCAGCACATGCTACACATGTGTTGGCGACATGGCGATCATATTATATTGGGCGAGTTCAAAACGGCAAAACGATTAGGCATGCTTACCGAGATTGAATATGATTGGTTGGATCTATAAGTAACAACCAATTACGTTCATTTGCTTGGCGAGCAGGCTAGCCGCTTTGTCAACTTGAACGCGCCCATTGACACGAACCGCTCCGGATATAGCCGAAGGCTGGCCGAATGTGACGCGTATGCTTGATACATGCGCAGTGGTCTACCACTGATTGAGCTTATTTACTCTTATACTTCTACCATGATAATAACCATTTTTTAATATAACTAATGTTGTTCAATAATATGAAGTAAGAAATAAGAATAAGAAATTGACCAATCACAATCGATATATCGACGACAGTGTTCTTCTCACAATCGACTGTAATTGATCAATTTCTTACTCTTACTTCTTACTCCGTGAATTATAGACGACGGATTATGCGTTTAAAATTTATTTTAAATCTAACTAGATTATCCTGTCCCTTCCTAGATAGCGACTAGATAGATTTAATATCTTGGGGCAACACACTGCCTCGTGATCAAGGCCTAGACAGTTTTTTCAAATTTCAGCGGCACCCATCTCGCGAACTAGGATCTAGACAATTTTCCAATATTGGGCCTACAGCGTATCGCGAACCAGGGCTAAGAAAGTTTTCCAATATTGGAGCTGGTCATTATTGCCGTTACAGCCCAGTATAGCCCCAGACTAACCTTCCAATGTAGCGTCTACATTAACTCGTGGAAAACTAGATAGGGTCCATATAGTGCCAGATCGTAATTTCCACCCGGGTTGGAGTTTTAATATTAAAAAAAATTAAATTTATCTCACAAGGAAACATAAGGAAGCATCCCCTTTCGACTTTGATGAGTTTTTAATATGTTGCAATCTACATTAAAATAAGGGATACGTATTTTTATAGGATAGGCTGTAAATAACGTGGGTTGCACATTATTTTTTATGCATATACACTTTTAAGGACTGAAACATCTTTAGAAAAAAATCGGTTCATTTTTTGTTAATATCATTGAAACTATAAAAGATGAAAAAAATTTTTTTAGATTAAAAATTTCTATTCCAGATACTATATTATATTTTCTTGTTTAATACTATTTGTATCTTTGCTTCTTTTTCTATTATATGTAATCTAGATTTATGCGTTTGCTAACTCTATATATAAGATCAGCTTTTTAATCATATATTATATTTATAAATTTAGGAACTCGTTAATCTATCACCTATCGCGTTTTGATGAAAGGCTGTAAATAACGTGGGTTGCACATTATTACTTTAATAACATTTCGGAGAATAACTTAAATTAGGTGAGGTTTTCTTGGAAAAAACAAATTTGACAAAGTGCGACCTAACAATAGTAGTAATCAACTCCAATTACTTGCAATCTTGGATACTGCGTCTAAAGATGATCACGCTGTGTAAATTGACGTCAGTTTCTATCGCATTGCGATCGATATCTCCTTAATTAGTAGCCGCGAAATTACTCGAATTTATTAATAAAAATTTGTCGGAATAGCATTTCAGGAATCTTAGTACTCCTACGTCAACATATAGTAATAATTTATGCAAAAATTGATTTTTAACTTGATCAATGTTTTCCCTTCTTTTATTCCATCTTTATCGTAAAATACGATCGTTCTATAAGCGTAACTTTGGAATGGCGCACGTGTATAAATTTTCTCACACTCATTAGTTCGTTCGCAGTAAGTAAGACTGTGATAAATCATAACATGCGATTTACTTTGGCAACACGCTTTGTGCGTTGACTTTCGGTCTGTCATTAAAAATAAAAGAGAAAGAATTTATTTTTCCAATAGATTACATAAAGTCAGATAACTTCTATATTTTCTTTATTCATATTATATAAAGAAACAAATTAATTCCCTTTCTGTATAAATAATCTGCAATTCGTAAGTGATTACATTATTATTTTAAACTTAGGCTTACCTTTTGGTAAACAAAGGGTCTAGTTAAAGCTAACCACCTCTCCGCTGCCATAACGATGGCGACGCAGCCACTGAAGAGGCCAAAAAGTCGCCAGACAACTCGAAGAGAGCAAAATATTCTTGTAGATGTCACATCGCCCGCATAAATTGTAACATACATCTGAACTAACATCCCCAATAACGCCACAAGATCGTTGGTTGCCAAACAACGTAGCATCAGTAAATGCTTGCGGTTTCTTCTCTGAAATGAAATAAGTTGATGTATAGCACCACTCTACAATTTTTTTATTAGAAAAACAACAAACTTTTGACTAAAACAATATAAGTTGATAAAAATATATTGCTATTATTATACATAATAGAAATGTATTTTTAATATTAAATTATTGATATATTTTATTTAAAAAAATTTCAGACAAATTTTTTATTATTTCCTTATTTAAAATATATTTATTATAATTTTATATTTATTATTAACTTTTCTACAAAAAAAGATTTTAAAACTCTCTAAAAAAGAATTTAACTTTCTATCGCGGAATCAATTTGGATTGATTGTGTGACTTAATATGTCAATAATCAAACAATCAATTACCAAACGTCTTACAGTTATTTACTTTGTAATCAACTATAGGAAAGCATTTTAATTATATTTTCTGCGTTTTTTTCTGCTAAACCTTTAAACATTTCTGGGATTTTATTAAACCATGTTATTCTTAAAGATATTTTATTTAATACGATATGCATATACATATATATATTTTTCAGATTTTAATTTAATTTTGATCTTTAACTAAGAAGATAACAAAACTATGCCAAAGATAAATACATTTTTAAGGAACTTATAATCAACTTAATAAGTAATTCTTTAATAGATATATTTTACATTATTAATTGAAAGGAAGAATTTTTTATTTGAGAGAAATAATATCATAATGTATGTAATATATAATTAGTTTTATTAATAATAATAGTTATTACAATGTATTATTACAATACAAAATATTAATTAATATAAATTGATAAATAATGTTATGATTTCCGTTAATTACCTTGTCTCGATGAAAAAGTATGACCAACGCAGACACGTTACCAATGACACCGGTTGTGTAGACAAGAGTCAATACAAGTTGAGGCACGAAACTCACATGTTTTCTTCGTGTAACACTTGTCACTACGTCGATCATCGTTGTCTTGTTAAACGCAAAAGTTGACAAGGTATCGTTATCCGCCAGCATGATTGCGGTATGAATTTAATTTTACCTATCGTTTATTTCCTCAACTTCGCTGAAAAACTTATCTTAATATGACGTAAAGAGCTAATCTAATAAAGTATCCAGACTTGTCTGACCTTATAACTTGTCGGTTGACTTACATTAATTATAATTCGATGTAAAAATAGTTTTTCTTTAAAACATGTCGATTTCAATTTTCACTTTCCTCCCAAGCAACTGCGAATTTTTATTTAGTTAAAGTATTAGAATCAATCATATTTTAATCACTTGGTATACATTTTTTTTCTTTCAGAATTTTATTCAGATCATTAAATTAGATCCAAAGAAGATGCATAGACGTTTCTTTTGTCATATGAAAAATGCAATTCTTGCATATGTAATACAATATCTTTTTGCAGTATGCAGCAATTTTTCCAAGGAGGATCACTGAAATAAAATTAACAATATACTTTACATTTCTGTGCATAATTTGTAATAGTGTTACTTATTACAAGAAATGGAAAAATCGAAATTTAAAAGTAAATAATAATAAAAAAGATAATTAATTATGATCAGAAGATTAAAATTGAGAGTACTCTGAATTATGGATATAACAACTCGTCAAATTTTTCAATAACGAAGAATCATAAAACGCAAAGAGAGAGAGAGAGAGAGAGATATTGATTTTAAAGCTTATTAATCTCTTAATAAAATTGATAAAGCAATCTGGAGATATAAATAAAGATTATAAAAATTTCATATATATATTTGAGAGAATATTATTTTTATAAAAGTTTAATTTTATAAAAAACAACATAATTTTATGTTAGTGGTTTAAGCATTGCGTAAAAATTCCGAGCAAATATGTGAAATAACGAAGATAGTCGATTTTATGAAACAGTTATTATACAAATTATGAAATATATATTTTAAGATTCTATAATTCATTAAATTTTCTGTATCTAATATAAATTAATCCAGAAACTGTAAATTTGAAAAATCACAACCATTTCCCCGTAGATTCAATCTTCAAAGCTCTTCCAACTTCTTCTTCGCCGTTTTATGCCCTTTAAGAAGTTCTTCAAGATGATAACTCTGCACAATTTCGTCTGAAACGTTGTCTATTACGCAGGGTTTTAATTTGATTTTTGTATTAATAAATAACGCCGATCACCCGTCACGCTCTTCTCGTCGCAGGAAATCCTACAGAGTCAATGATCGACGACGCGAACCTGAGAGCCTTTCGATCGAAAATGAGGGTTTTACAGAGTATCAAGAGATTCTTCCGACGAGTGGAGTCACCGCTTGACTGATCGAAACCACACGCAGGATTCAGTTTTATTTACTCCCAAAGATCGGCTTGATCGCAATGGCGCCTGCGCGCAGAATTGTCATCCATCATTTATTTATTGCTAAAATTTATCAAAAACATTGCTGATGCAAATGTTAGATAAGAGAATGATTCATTTAAATTATTTTTAAGAAATAAATGAATTTTGCGTATATATAGTTTTGATTTTGACAATCTTAAATAATTGTTTTATTAAAAATTGATCGTAATTCAAAATTTTAAATTATATTTTTTATTGTTAGAAATTAATAAGAAAGTAATATATATTAAAGTCACTCATATGACTGTAAACGGTTTGCTTTTCGATGTCTTGCAAACAGATTCGCGCAAACTCCAATTCGTTGGCATGCGAATAATTATGAATAATGCATGTTACACGTACTTTTTTATATACAAGACAGCGTACTGATCAGGAACGATCTGCGTTAAATAAATGCCCTGCCCTTTCAAAGATGCAGGACACAATGAAAGGACTCCCAAGGAATGGCAATGAATTTTAGATTTGTCAAGCTCTGGATGCAATCCAATGATTGTGACAACGATAGAAATTTATCTAGTTTCGATTATCAATCAAGAATTAATTTCATTAACTATAGATAGAAGAATTCTTCGGCAAAATATACGTTAAATAGTTTATTAAACATAAAAATCACAAGTCAACTGCATATAATTATGTCTTCCTTCTTTTAGAAAATTGATTATCTCTAAATTTTCTTTTTCTTGATTTTTTTCATTTACATTCGGCGTTCTAAATAAATATATTTTGATTTGTACTCTTAGAAGGCTATATGAAAAATATTTAGAAAATTGATCCAATTCTTATCTTTAAGATTAAAGAGTTCTCTCTCTCTCTTTTTCTTCTTTGTCTGAATTTTGTCCTTGGGTTTTTTTTTCTAAATCAAAAAAATCCAAAAAATTCTACCTGCTGATTTGATTCAGCTCTAGATAGTTCTATTTTTAGAATATGAGTTGTCTTTTTATTATAATTCAGTTAATCTTGCATACATTAATAAAGCTTAAAAACATATTTTACAAATTTTATAAACAATTTTTAAATTTTAATTAAATTTTAATTTTTTGTCCCTTTAAAGCAGACAAACCCTTTACATAGAGAATAGAACGATTATTAATAGTCATTAAAACGATAGTTTTCATTTTGATTTATTAATGAATTCCAATAATTTAAATCACAATTGTACGACTTATGAGAGTTATGAATATTGATTTGAATATTCTCGAATGATAATTACACAGATAAAATTAAACCAATGCAAATTCAATAATTATATAATCCCGGAGAGAAAACAAAAAGAATTTTATTACTTTACGTATTGGTTTCTATTTATAAAAAGTATTTTACTTATAAGCATCTAAAAATTTCTAAAAATTATTAAAACTTTTTAAAAATATATATAAAAGTTTAATGTAAATTGTTCTTTGTTATATATATTTTACGACTTTTAATCATTTATTTGTTTTTGCACAAAAGGTATTATTTCTCTCACAATTAATCATACCAATCTGTTTGATTCTATAAGTTTTGTTATTTTTCGTTATTATATTATTTATCATTATATTACTTAAACTTTTAGGATTATCAAGAATATATTGATTTTTATATATTGTCGAGACATAAGTTATTATATAATATTATCTCTATACTATTCACAGAGTGATTATAGACTAAACAGGTATGCACATTACACATGATTTTACTGGTTATAAATACAGAATATCATGCAATATAAACAGTATCATTTATATTATAAAATTTTGACCAGTTTGTCGATGCTGCCACAAAGATTTTAAGCCTTCTTCAGCTATTATAAATAATATTTTGATATAAGGATGATTTTTCTTGTCTATATCACAATTTCTCTATATAATCTTGAAAGAGGCAGAAAATAAAACACACTACGAGATTAGAATATATCTAAATAAAAAGATCTGAAGTAAGACTTTTATTAAAAATTGATAAATGTGTAGTAAATACAATTATTAAATTTTATGAAAAGTATAATAAGCTAATAAAAGAAATTAATATAAAATCATAAAAAATAATAACGAAAAATATAAACGTTAAAAATATTCTTATAGACTGTAATTTTTTTATTACAATGCAATTCTTTTCTTATACAAATGTTAACAATTTGTTATGACGCACGTGTCGATAACATGAATGAATCATCTGTATTCTCGTGAGTTAGGATGTGCTGCTTAAAACGAAGGTTTATCTTTACATGGTGAGCCATAAACATACAATAGTCGATATCGAAGCAAACAAGGAAATTAATTTAAATAATGCAGTTGCAATCGATGCCATTCTTGCATAACAATTATTTAAATTGTAATGCACAAGACAACTTTATGATCCGGCAAAATAATTTTCTCACTAATCTAACAGATCCAAAATTAAATGTTATTGAATTAATTATTAATGCAATGAGTACACGATGACCATAATAGAGAATTGTTCATAATTTTTAATTGTTATAAAAAACATTAAAGGAAATTATTTATTTTTTAGTCCTTATTCTTATTTATTATGATCTGTAATATAAATATGGCACAGTAATAAATCATAATAAATAATTAAAAAGAGAGTTCTACTAATTTATATTTCTTATATAAAACAAAATTATTGAATTAAAAAATTACAATTATATATAAAATATACAATAAAATTTTTTGTAATGAATTTATATGTAGGGGAGAGTGTCTAAATCGGACCGTGTTCTAAATAGGACCTTTTTAATTTAAATAAATACGGTTAAGCAGATTTGCGTACTATTTATAACGTAAAGTCCTTATAAGACACCGAACATGTGATAGCAGTTTGACAGTTCTCTGTCATAACATTCATAAAATAGAGGCAAATATGTATTTTCAGCCATCGTGCGAAAATTTTTTTAAAAAAGAAAATCCTTGTAAATCATTATTTAAAAGGTGTTAAAAATTTGAAAAGTAATTGATTTAAGATAATTAAAGAGTGTAGAATTAAAAAATATCAAGCATTTCGTGATCACTTTTGCGGTTAATTGTAAAATTTGTTCCAAAGTTCGAAAAGACCTAGGTCCAAATCGGACAGTACAGTAAATAACTTATAGGCCTGGTTGTAGTACTGGTGATCGGCTGACTAGATCTGGTCCAAGCAATTAAATCAATAAAATATCATGAGTCATCAGACTCAGATTAGTTGAATTTTATTGATTTCAATTCTAATAATGTAAACAGTCAGTATTTTCTTTTTCCAAAAAAAATGTTTATCTTTGACTGTCAAATTGCTCGTTTTTACTCAATACTAAGAAAAATACATTAAAATATTTTAAAATTCTATCTAAAAATCCATAAAAATAGGAGTTTTCGATTTGAACCAGGGGATGGTCCGATTTGGAACCAATAGTTCTAAATCGGACTGGAAAAAGCGTTTTTACATTTTCCATTATAATTTAATACAAGTGAGAGATACGTCCAAATAATCTGAAGCAAAAATGAAGGGAATTAAATGATCTTTCCAACAGCACCTTCGACTTTACGATCGGACTTTATTTATGCCTTATAGAGAGCAAAAACTGCAAATAGGTCCGATTTAGACCACTTTCCCCTACTCTATATATTATATTATGACACATAATGATTATTGAAGGATCTCTTGAAGAATAAAAAAAATCGATTTTTTGTATTTTGAAAGTATATATCTAATATCTGGAAAAAATGTTTTGCAAAAATAACAGAATTATAAAATATAGGATACAACTACGAATAGATCTAAAAATAAAGCTGCTTGGAGTTAGATTAGAAGTAAGTAAATTTTTTCATTATCTTTCTGATAGGAAAGGGACAAAACAATAG